TCCAAGAATGATCCCAAAATAATCTAATAATGACCATAAACTCTAAAAGAAGAGATCTAGAATAATGGATGATCAAGATAATGACTTTATACCTCCAAGTAGCTGCAACAACACTGAAAATCCCATATCTAAAGCTTCTCCCTTCAGCCTTGCACCACCAACCTCAAGCACCTTCAAGAAAAGCACTAAAGAATACTCCTTAAGCTCACACAAACTCAAAATGAGGAAATATGTCACACCCCGAAAACCGAAGGCGGAATACATTTCCGGGGTTGACTACCGTGTTGAGTATCAAATCCAATGTACATAGTAAGCAAAGTAAAACAAGCATTACATTACATAATAACAGTTTTACAGTTGTTTCAAAAGGTAAAGTTTGTACAGTTGTGATACATAGTATATATAGACAAAATGTAACAGGTCTTCATGTACACCGTCTTCATGCAAAAGGATCTTCCGGTACCTGTTCTAACGTTGACCTGAGAACACAAGCGGTTTGAAAATCAGCATAAAGCTGGTGAGTTCATAAGAGGTTTTTGTTTGTGAAAATGCTTCGGTTTCCTTTCTGTTTCTGAAATGTTATGTACACCAAGAAAATCCCGTATTTTCTTAAAAGTTGGTTATTGTTTCCCAAATGTAAAGTATAGTAAGTTTGTACACTGAAAACATGTTTACTCATATGAAAATGTACAGTTGGTTATCTGACTGGTTAAACTGTTCTGTTTACTTATCGTGTGTTACCAGGAAAGTCCTATACTTTCCTTATTGTATATTACAAATTGTAAAGGATGTAATGTTATCCATTCTGTGACTCTTTCTAGTTATGTAAGTGTTACCCAGGAAAGCCCCATGCTTTCCTGCATATATGTATCTTATGTAAACGATGTGAAAGATGTAAAAGATGTAATCGTGATTAGATTCCATGTTTTCCCCAGGAAGGTCCCGTACCTTCCTGAATGTTAGTTACAGTAAGTAAAAGATGTAAAAGATGTAAACGATGTATAAAGTGATCCATTATTACTGTAAGTAAATCTTTGTTATCCTAATTGCGAGTTCCATAACCATACAATAGACTGAAACCTGTGGCAATAAGTAGTCCACATGTGGCAATAAGTCGTCCACATACTTATGACTTTCGTCACCCTTGAACCATTTCGGTTCGGCTGTAGCTAGCAGCCAGGTGTGGGGTAGTCAGCCCCGTATAGATCTATACACTCGAGTCACACTCTCTAAATACCAGAGATTCTGGTTATGGGTGTAGTCCTCCACTCGCGTAATCCAGGTGGAGTGTTCTCCGAGGACGTGTCTCCAATCATACCGGAATAACAAATTTACTAGAAATAATATGAAAGTCCTCCACTCGCGTATGTGCGTGGAGTGTTACCGAGGACAAAACAGTGTACAGGTATTACATTCAAATGTTTTAATGTCATGCTTTTAACTGATAAAATGTGGAAAACCCTTTGTGAAATACATGTAAAACATACTAGTTTAAAGACTTATTTCACAAATATATGTTACGTGATTTGTATGTTCGATCTGTTATCAGTTGTAGTTATCAGTTATAAAAGCATAAGAATATGAAACACACATTTGAAAACATGTTATGAGTACAGGAATTCCCTTGTACTTTGCTTGTGTTCCCCCCCTGAAAACAGTGAAAACAGTGAAAAAAAAAAGGGTAGGGGTATGAACTCACCGGACTCAGAAACGTGTCGGTTTTGAATGCTAGACGTCGGTTCGGGGTTTGATTACTCGCGATGACCCTATGTAAAATGATATAATGTCCATATATATACAATTAGAGATACATTCACTAATCATATGGAACATTACACTCTAATGAGGTTAAATACCTCAAAACGAGCGTTTGGAGTGACCCGGGTGACATCTTTGGATTTGTAATGACACAACGGACTTGGGACTTGAGTTTACTCCCCATAAGTAAACATTTTAAAGAGTTTACAACAATGGAACACCCACATATTTGAGTTTACGGCCGTAAACTCATGTGGGTGAGGTTTTGGTGTTTTAAGGGCTCAATTGGACTTAGGGATTGCTAGGAATGATTATCTAAACACCTTGGAACACTTGAAATGGATTTAAGACACTTAAAACATGAGTTTACGGCCACACTCATAGAGTTTACGGCCGTAAACTCACAATGGCTAAGAAAAATTGATTTAAGCTACTTAGGGCAATCACATGTGATTCAAACTAATTTTCTAAGCTTTATTATGAATTTAGAACATCAATTAAGACCTTTGTTGGAGTTTACGGCCTAGAGGAATGTTCTAAGGCCGTAAACTCTCTTTTACCTTTGAAAAAGATAGTTTTTGGTGCTTAAAACAATCACATGTGATTCTAGAATTTTATATAAGCCATTTGGGTGTGTTGGATGCATCTTAAACATTGTTTCATGAGTTTACGGCCAAAGAGTATGCTCCTAGGCCGTAAACTCTCATAAATCATACTTTTGTTGTGTTTCAATCCTTTAAACCATTTTTAGATGCATCTAGATTTTACCACAAAGTCATAGATTGAGTTTGGAAGCATTTGGACATGTATAAAGGCCTTAAATCACCCTTTTAGAGGAGTTTACGGCCCAAGAGAGTGTCTTGGCTGTAAACTCTTCTTTGTTACACAAAATTCAAGTTTTAAGTGTTCCAAGTCTAGATTAGCAAGTCCAAGGTTTATGTCTAAGTCCCAACTAGGTTTTTGGAAGGGTTAAATGGCTTAAATACCCCTTGTATATGAGTTTACGGCCCAAGAGAGTGTCTTGGCCGTAAACTCACTTTTTTCCTTCTAAATCCATGTTCTACATGTTATAAGTTCATCCCTTTAAGCCCTTAAGCCATATCTAGAGTCCAACTATGCAAAGGGAGGGTTTTAGGGCTTAAAAACCCTTGAAATATGAGTTTACGGCCCATGAATGTTCCATGGCCGTAAACTCATGAATGTTGGCCTATTACATGAATTGAACTCGAATTTGGATGCTAAATATGATAGAGATTAAGGCTAGGAAGGTACCTTAGAGATTATAAGCCTTAATTTTGAGTTTTGATCTCTTAAACTTGGATTAGGAGAGAGGTGGGTAATGTTTAGTGATAATTTGACCAAAGGCTTCAAATGAAGTCCTAAACACGTTTATATAGTGTTTAAGTTTTGGACACGGTGGAATTCTACCCGATACCGGCGTTAGACGGGGTTTTTGGTCGTACCCGATTGAGTTACCGTAACTCGATACGGTAAATTCTATAATTATTCCGATCACTAAAGTTGGGTGTTAAATTGATTTCTAAATGTATTAAGACACCCATTAAGCCATTTTAAATGTGTCATAATTAATGACTTAATTAAACGGAGAAATCGGAAATTGGAAATCGGAATGACGATCGGTTACGCGAGTTGAATTATGAAAAAGTTACATTAAAATGAAGCGAAAATTTCGGGTTGTTACAAAATATGCACGATTAGGGTTTTCTATGGACTGAGGGAACAATGAGGGAGGCTTCAAATGAGTCATAAGTTCTTTAAATAGGGTGCAAAACCCTAAAAATTAGGGTTTTGTAAATAGACGTCAACTCGTCGAGTTTTTTCTAAGCAACTCGTTGAGTTGAATACTTCCAACACGCCGAGTCTGAGTCCATCAACTCGCTGAGTTCCAAAGAATAACTAGTCTTTAAAGCAATAAATCTCTTACATGAGAGTCATGATGTTACAGTGGAGGCGGTGGAGCTTACTAGTGGTCGATTCAATATTGTAAAGCCTAAATCTAGAGAAAGTTTGTTAGGATTTGGGTTTAAATCAAAAGATATGGAGTAGTCTCTAACTAATTTAATGGGATGCTTGATGAGCGGTTGAAGATTATACGACTTTCTGATTTTATGGGATTGATTGCAATAGGAATTGAATAATACACTGAGTTCTAAAACATTTGAGCAAGATCGACTGCATAAGGGCAAAACAAGAATTTTAGATAGATGATTTGAGCGGGAAAATTAGATGGGAGGATGCTTAGCTATTGCCACATGACACTTTGATACTCTTTTATTAGGATAGAAGATCATGAAAGTTTTATATTTCATATTAATATTTTCATGGGAATTGAAACTTCAATAAACAGCACACGTGAATATCACTAATAGTTATCGAGTGTAAAATCCAAAAATCTCGCTAAGTTGTGACCATTGAAAGGTAATGATCGTAAATAGTTCACATGGGTGTTTTTCAACTTTAACATAGCCCTTAGAGCGACAATCTTCTTGATTCTTCTAATTTTCTTAATGGCTTCATCATCTCTTCTATCAATCTACCAAATGAAGGGAGTGTTCATAAGAAATTCCATAATCCAATTACTTGGTGGTAACATCGAAGCTCCATTATTTATCTCATGAACGTCTTTGAACTCGAGTTTGGGTATTATGGATGTCTTAATTTCAATATATGTAACAAATATCCAATGTTAGTTCTAATTTATTATGATTTCATTTAGAATGTGTGATATGCATTTAACATTAAATTTGATAAATACTGGTGATTTTTAAGCGCTTCTTGTAACATGATGGGTTGATGTGTTTATTTTGTATTTATAAAAAAAAAACTTACCGTATACGATTTTAAATATTTTTGTTATAATAACAATTGATTTAAAACAAATATATTTTTTATTTTAATGGAAGCGCAAGTGCTTATTAAGTTGCGAAATAAACTAGATTACGTGACAATCATCCACATAGGAAGAACTGGAAATCGATATTCGAAAGTCAGCCGAGATCACTGTCACGACAATATTGGTCAAACATTTGCCACCCGTGTAACAACTAAAGCAACCATGTCAACACAAATATACAAATGTTGTGCCATGTGTCCTCCATATACCTGCCTATAAATACAAACTCAGTCTTTAATGGGTACTATTGAAAGGAGACTGGAAACACCAGCAAGACAATGCTACTTGCAGCATAGACGCTATCGCTATCGGAGGACCATTTCTTGTGATGATGACGCTCACTCTATTTGCAACAATTTTGCTATTTTTAGTCGACGCTCCACTACTTATACTTTTTCAGCCCTCTGATAGTGGGTGCCAGCTTTGTATTCATGGCAACGCTGGTGAGATTCGGTTTGGCGGTTGTAACAACAATAACGAGGTTTGCAGCATTGGATTGGGTTATCCGGTCACTTTAAGGTAGCGTCAGGAGTTGCGATCGGGCTAGGCACTTAAAACAGAAAGTGCAAACTTAGTCGAACAATATGGCTGCTATCGCAGGTTATTAACCAGGGGTGTGAATTTAGTCATTTAGGTGCCGTTTGTTTTTCAAAGCGAAAATGTCTGAAGTCTGCGGACCACCTCTGCAACCCTTTGTAACGTAAGAGGGGGACCAAACAGTTGCAACATGTAATAAAAAGTTTATTTATTTTTTAAGCTCTGCAGACTGCTCTAATAAGTTAAAATAATGTGTGAAAAGGTTTGAAGCATATAATCAAGTGTTGCGTCACACAACACACGCACATCGGTTTTTAATTCAAAAGTCTTATGAAAAACAAACAGTTGCGAAGGACCAAGTGCTGCACGACGCAACAATAAGTGGTTAGAAGATGTTTTTTTAGAGAATACACACAGCATCCAAGTTAATTGAAACGTGATAAACGTACATCTAGACTGTACATAAAATTAGTTACACGGTATGTCTAATAAAATGATGATCTTTATTCTTTAATCTTTATAAAAGGACAAAAGTAAAATATGGGTAAAAGAAAACAAAAAAACATTTGAGAATAATAATGAGCTGGAAAAAAGAAAGTATTTGGTTATTTAATCTTTATAGGCCCTCTTGATACGCGTCGCCACAAGCCCACAACAACGTTTCTTAAAATATTAATTAAATTAAATTAAATTAAATAATAAATAAAATAAAATAATAATGATATTATGGAATGTTGTAGACTTGTAGTTAGTTCCATGACTCCATCTGTCATGTGATATCATTTTCATGGCATTATATGATTTTTATGACTCGTCGTCTTCACCCAAAACTTTATTCAAATAATTTTTTGTCTTTTTAAAATTTCACATAACCTACATAAGTTACATGACTTGAATAAATACTATTTTATTATCTACAAGCCTTATCATGTTATCAGCATTAAAAATGGAACACGAAGTGTTTGTTACGAAACCTTTTGTTTTCTAATTCAATTTGTAATATATCAAACATATTTATGAATTATAGGTGGTTTTGTTTGTATTCTTAAAAGAAATAACTTGTTAACAATTACTTTCGACTTTCGTACGACACTTTGCGTTTGACCATAGATAGCGAAACACTAGGCCTCTATTTCTTCTTTAATATGTTCGGTTTTTGTTTGATTATGTTTGTAAACTTTTATAGCTACAACACATAAAAAACTCTTTTGTAATAAATTTAAATCTCATGAAAAGGTGAGTTATATGAATTCAAAAGACTAAAAATGTGTATAGAACTAAAAAAAGGAAAAAAAAAGAGATAAAAATGAGAAGAAAAAGGTGACACGTATGCAGTTTCTCCAACGATTCTACAAGACTAAAACTGATTGTCTGCTTTCACTATAAATCAACGTCATTGGTCATTTTTCCCAAAGCCCCATTATCACACGACTCCCACCTCAATTCTTACGTGTGAAAAATACAGAGCTTCCATGGGCGACTACACAGAAGACCATCAGTCTCCATTAGTCCAATGCTCGCATTCATCTGATGAAGAATCACAGGAACTCACACACAGAACAGGTATGTTATCTTATCTACTTCCGATGACTAACTTGGGGTTTCCTATTTTATTGGAGTTTGGTCGTGTACTGATTCGGCGATCGGTATTTAAATATGGAGTGCAGGGACGATATGGACGGCGATTGCTCATATAATAACCGGAGTTATGGGGGCAGGGGTGTTATCACTGGCGTGGAGCTTAGCTCAACTCGGATGGTTGTTTGGTCCTCCTGCAATCATTATCTTTGCTGCAGTCACCGGAGTTTCAAACTCCATTCTCTCCGATTGCTACAGATCTCCACACCCTGAGTATGGCGCTCATAGGCATGTTTCATTTCTTCAAGCTGTCCGTTTCTTTTTGGGTCAGTACCACACCACTCCTATCATTTTCCAATACGAAATTAAATATCTGAAGAGATTAATTATTCGGTTAATCAAGCAATCGGTTGCATAAACTCTCTCTTAGATAATTTGGAGTGTTCCTGTATCAATTAGTCATACAAGCGAGCATCGCAATTCCAAATTGGGGCTAACTTTGAAAAGCAGGGGAGAAGAAGCAGAGGATATGTGCAGTGCTTCTCAACGAGAGTTTATTCGGGAATGATATTGCTTACACCATTGCAACTGCTACCAGCATCAGGTGAATCCAATTTACTGGTTTCTTATTAAGATATTTATAACAAACACGAAGGTTCTTTATCAGCTTTTTTTTGATATTAATGCAGGGCAATATTAAAATCAAATTGTTACCACAAACAAGGGCATGATGCAGATTGTAGATATGAAGACAACATTTATATGCTGCTGTTTGGACTTGTGCAGATTGTCATGTCTCAGATACCAAATTTCCATGACATGGCATGGTTATCTGTTGTTGCTGCTATCATGTCATTTGCTTACTCTACCATTGGCGTGGGGCTTGGTTTTGCAAAAGTTATTGGTATATATAATCATAAATAAACATTACTGTTGAATTAGAATTATTTACTTCTTACCAAATTATATATATATATATATATATATATATATATATATATATATATATATATAATTTCTTGATTCTTTCTAAAAAACATCTCTTTTGGAGTTCCAGAAAATGGAGAGATTATGGGAAGCATTGGAGGAGTTCCAGCAACTTCTGCAATTGATAAAGTATGGCTGGTTTTTCAGGGTCTTGGAGACATAGCTTTTGCTTATCCATACTCCATAATTCTCCTTGAAATTCAGGTGTGTTGTTCCCTCATAAGTTTCATTCTTTATAGGGTAAATTGCAGGAAATAACCACACATTTTATTCTTTTAACAATATACACAATAAACTTTATTTTTCCCTGCAGTGTATTAACATTTTTTTACCCATAATATTAATGTATCGACATTTTTTTACACCTAATAGCAACTTATTTACAGTTCCTTACTCATAATAGCAACATACCTCCATTTCTTTACCTATATTAGCGATATATATAACAAATGAAATGCATTGCAAGTATTAGTAAAGAAATGAAAGTATGTTGCTATTATGGTAAAAAAATTATAAGTATGTTACTCTTCTTTTTAACCATGAACTAATCTTGATTGCCTTTTTTAATGAAGGATACATTGAAATCCCCACCATCAGAAACCAAAACCATGAAGAAAGCATCAATGTCTGCAATAATGATCACCACCTTCTTCTATATGTGTTGTGGGAGCTTTGGGTATGCTGCCTTTGGGAGTAACACACCTGGCAATATCTTGAGTGGATTTGGATTTTATGAGCCCTATTGGCTTCTTGATTTGGCCAATGCATGTGTTGTTCTTCATCTTGTTGGGGGATATCAGGTGAGACAAGAAATTGCAATTTATGTCCTACTGGAAATAGTTTCAGTCTCAGTGTTAGTGTCAGTTTCTCAATCTGAGTCTGAGTCAAAACATAAGCTTTTACTAAGTATTCAAATTACAGATATTCAGCCAGCCGATATATGCACTTGTGGAAACATGGTTTTCTAAGAGTTACCCAGACAGTGAATTCGTGAATGGGTTTTACAGAGTGAAGCTGCCATTATCAGAAGCAACATTTCATGTTAATCTCTTGAGGCTATGTTTCAGAACTTTTTATGTTGTGACCACAACTGGAATCGCAATGTTGTTTCCATATTTTAATCAAGTGCTGGGAGTGTTAGGGGCCTTAAACTTTTGGTCCCTGACTATATATTTCCCTGTGGAGATGTACTTTGTGCAAAGAAGGATTGTACCTTGGACAACAAAATGGGTTGCTCTTCGGACCTTCAGCTTGGTTTGCTTTCTTGTATCAGTTTTGGCCTTCATTGGATCACTTCAAGGGCTCATATCTGCCAGATTGAGATGAACACATGTATACTTTCTCGGCTATAGAATTCTTGGTTTCCTGTACATTCATAGTCCTTTTTATGCAATAAAGTTTGGCTAGAAATCAACATTAATATCCCTTTACTAGTTAGTTGCTAAAGAACAGATTCTGTAAATTTTAAATAGAAATAGTAACAAAAAAGGTGGTATTTTGAAGTCTCTGAATGGCTTCTTCCACATTCGTGATAAATGTTGGTGAAAATAGACAAAGGTTTTTTTTGTAAGTTGTTGAAGAACCAAAGGGGTAATTATGATTTTTGAATGAAATTCTGATGAAAAGCATGTAGGGTCTCTCACTGTTTATGTTTCGAAACAATTATGACAATAAAAATCAAAATGCTTCAGTTGTTACTATACAGTATGTTTAAGAAGTTACGCAATAACATATTTTATACGCTTTAAAATTTATTTGATTATAATAAAACCCAAAAGTTAGAATTAGAAAACCAATGAAATTTGTTGGACAAATTAATCAACAATTGCTTCGGAGAAAGAGAGTATGTGCTAGAAATATATGAGTTCTTTTTTTCCCACATCGGCCGGTTCGAAAATGTGGGAGTAGGGGTGAGTAGTATAAAATGGGAGGGAGGCCGGTGGAATACTCACTTACCTGGACGGGGTCAATGGTTGATCAAGAAGGTCCATGGCCTAAGTTGACGACCTCCATTGCACTCAGGAGGGGCGTTAGCTTAAGGTCGGCCCAAGTGGTCGAGCCTACGTCATAATTTGTGTCAGTGGGGGCCTGCGTTCGCGCGGCCCCCGTCAATTCTCTAGTCAATTTATTCTTTTAATTTCTACCTTCAATCATACTTTATTATTTCATTTTCGCTTGGAATCATCAAATTAGTAATGGCAGAAAATCCGGAAGATGTCGAGAGCGATAAACCGTTGTTGATGAGAACTCCCCATAAGATGACTGGTTTGCTGTTTCTTATCTATCTAGTCTTAACTTTCCTATATTTTTTGGTATTCAACAAGTAAGAAGTCAACTGTTTTTTGGTGATCATTGATAAGAACCTTGTAAAATGACCATCGATTTAGATAAACTTGTTGAAAGCTGTCTTCATAGATGTAGGTTTTTGTGGTTCTATTTAAAACACATATCTGTTTTCGCTTCAGTAGATTATGCACACCAAGTGTTTGTGAAAATGAAAATCTAACCACTCATACTTCTAGTCACAAGCAACACTGATGAAATGAACTATAATCGATTTTGGAACATATTATATCGATGGTTTCTTAGATGTCCACTCGGTTTTTGATGTTGAATGTTGATGAAGGGAATGTATGGACAGCTGTTGCACATATAATAACCGCAGTAATAGGGTCAGGAGTTCTATCTCTGTCTTGGAGTGTAGCACAGCTTGGATGGATTGCTGGTCCATTGACTCTCCTTCTATTTGCACTTGTCACCTTCCTAAATGCATCCCTTCTCACCAATTTCCATCATTATTCAGACCCTATCAATGGACAAACCATTACCAATCATTCCTACTTGCAAGCTGTACAAAACATATTAGGTAAAAGACAAACCTAACCTCCACAGTTAGATACCTGAATGCGTTTACTTGCTTCAACAGTTTTTCTAATGTCACAGGGGGTTTGAGTGCGAGGATTTGTGCATTCTTGGCTTACTTCAACTTATTCAAGTTAGGAGTTGTTTACACAATTACATCTGCAATCAGCATTAGGCATGCTTCTTTTTGGCAACTGTTTATAATGGCAGTTTTTCTTTTTAGTCTAATTATTGAAGTGAATTTGTTGCTGACAGAGCAATTGAGCAGTCGAATTGTTACCATGAACAAGGGCATGAAGCTGATTGTGAATATGCCCTGACTTCTTACATGCTTTTATTTGGATTTATTCAAATTATAGCTTCTCAAATACCTAATTTCCATACTACAAAATGGCTCTCAGTTACTGCTGCAATTATGTCCTTCACATATTCCCTCATTGGATCCGGACTTGGGTTAGCCCATACAATAGGTATGGAATTACTGATATCCATCTTCAAAGGTATGGAATAGAATCGCGTTTCTTGATATAATACAGGTGAAATTAAAAAAAAAAAAAATACAGGAAATGGAAAAATTGAAGGTAGCATTGGAGGAGTTCCAACTAATAAACCGATTCAGAAAGTATGGTTGGTCGCTCAAGCTATTGGAGACATCGCGTTCTCCTATCCTTTTCCCTTGGTTTTTCTTGAAATACAGGTGATGATTAATTAACTAATTAATTATGCTTATTTTCTTGAAAAAAAAAAAAGTGTTCGTGTTCATTGTAATGTTGTTAAATATGAAGAGCACTTTGAAATCACCTCCACTTAAAGAAGTCACCATGAAGAAGGCCTCAAGTATTGCAGTTTTTACCACCACCATTTTTTACCTCTGTTGTGGTGGATTTGGATATGCAGCATTCGGGAACTCGACTCCCGGGAATATCTTAACCGGGTTTGGATTTTACGAGCCTTATTGGCTCATTGATTTTGCTAATGCATGCGTTTTCCTTCACTTAATTGGAGGATATCAGGTTAAACACTTTTTGGTCATTTTTGTGATTACCTTTGAATGTTTTTATACTTAAACGGGATCCAAAAAGCGGATATTAGTGTTGATCTCGTATTTTTTTTCTTCCAGATATTTAGTCAGACGTTATACGCGATAGTGGAAAGATGGTATGCTGAAAAGTACGCTGGAAGTGAATTCATGAGTGATTTTGAGATTTTAGAGATTAGGTTGAATCCTGTTCGGCTATGTTTTAGAACATCATATGTGGTGTTAACGACAAGCATAGCAATGGTATTCCCTTATTTCAATGAAGTGGTGGCGTTTGCAGGATCAGTCACCTTCTGGCCATTGGTTGTTTACTTCCCTATTGAGATGTATTTTTTGCAGAAAAAGATTGTATCTTGGACATGCAAGTGGGTTCTTCTTCGTATCTTCACCATTGTTTGCTTGTTTGTATCGATATTTGCTTTGATTGGTTCTATTCAAGGACTAATTGCCAAAAGATTTGGATAAAACACCCCACGCTATGTACTCTTAACTACTATTTGCAACTTATCATATAGACCTTATTATGCTTTGTACATATAAATAAATTTTAGTTATACTATTTAATAATAGTTTTGAAATTGACATATAATAATAGAGTGAATCAGGCACACAACGATATATTGTGTCATGGTTACATTCTTATTCTTTTTATTACTCTTACTCTTATGAAGGAAATCTAGTGTTAGATTTAGGGATTTCGGATAACAATCAACTTCGATAAATACTTTCCAAAATATGTAATTCGACCCTTCATCTAGAGTCACATGAATTCAGATCAAGGGATAATCTATGTTAACGATTACGATTATATGCTTAATCAGAAGCTCAAGCACAAAATATCTTGTGTTGTTATCGTGTTATTAAGAGATAAATATGCGGGGAGAAGTAGTTTTCTGTGATCTTCCTTCTGCAATGTTCAAGTCTTTCCTTTATATTTAGAAGACGACGATTATGTAGGTAAAGGACACCCTCTTTTCAAACGCCGGGTCATTTGGGAGGAAAAATCTGACCCATTTTCTTTGCTATTTTATTAGAATTCTTGGTTCCTTGTACACTCCTTACTCCTAGTCCTTCTTATGCAATAAATCTTGGCTAACAATCAACATAAATATCATTTTGCAAGTTGTTAAAGAACAAAGTATTAAATATGCAAATTCGTACAAACAAAAAAAGTGGTATTTTTAAGTAATGGAGTCTTTGAACATGACAATATAGTAGTTATGGACTTATGTTACAACAACTTTTTATACCACTTAACTTTCGAGCCATTATATTGATATTATTGGCTTCTTGCACATTTGTAGTTCCTTTATAAGTTGTTAAAGAACAATAGTGGTAATTTTGAATGGAAGTTTCATGAAAAAGCATCGAGGGGTGTTTGATTGTTTATGTTTCGAGACCATTATATGAAGTTGGATACAACAACAGTATAAAAATTGTTTGATGATAATAAGACTAAAAATCGGTTCCTTTTGTTATCAAGAAAGAGAGGCAGGCATGTGCTAGAGATATGAGATTGAGAGGGTTGTTTTTTGTCCCACATCGACCAGTTAACAAATGTGGGAGTAGGGGCGAGTAGTATAAAAAGCGAGGGAGGCCATTGGATTACTTACTTACCTGGACGGGGTCAATGGTTGATCAAGAAGGTCCATGGCCTAAGTTGGCGACCTCCATTGCACTCAGGAGGGGCGTTAGCTTAAGGTCAGCCCAAGTGGTCGAACCTACGTCATAATTTGTGCCAGTGGGGGCCTGCGTTCGCGCGGCCCCCGTCAATGCTCTAGTCAGATCTTTTTTAGCTTTACAGTTTGGCCCTTATAACTGCAAATACAGTTCCAATATTTTGTACAAAATTAATTTTAATATCAACAAAGCTGACGGTGGTGCTGCTTGTAAACTTAGCAGCGCTTTAGTTGATTTAACAAGGAACATCCATTTGTACAAAGGAAACAAGAGCTTACATTTTTATAGACGTTGTTTTATTTATTTATTTATCATTTTGATGTTTTCGAATTTTTGCACAAGTTGTATATGAAAATGTAAAACCTGACTACTCCATTTTTCAGGCACAGCCAACAGTCAAAATGCGTTTACTTGTTTATACAGTCTTTTGTAAATTGTAATGTCACATGGGATTAGGTTCGTGTCAACTAGTCGATTTGAATGTTTTCTATTAGTGAGAGCAATTTAACACTCTAATTGTTACCACCAACAGATTGCGAATATAGCCTAACACCCATTTAGGCTATGCATTATGTAATATAACAATTGTCATAAAGACATTGCTACAGTTGAAGCCATCAAATAATAATAATAACATATTTGTTACTAGTTGGCAGTTGCAAACATGGTGGATCCACACAGGGCGGCTCTATGCTTTACAAAACTAAGCAAGGGCTTAGGGCCCCCAATTCTAAAGGGTCTTCAATTTTAAAACTTATTATGTTAATTATATATGTATATATACATATTTCCTGGGTTGCAAAGACAAGTTGTAGCTTGGTCTAGTGGTAAAAGTGGTGGTTTAGCAAACCAAGGGTCTTAGGTTTGAATCTATTTTCTTTCCTAAAGGGCTTCAATTTTTTTGTTTTCTTAGAGCCTCTAAAATGGTTGAGCCGCCCCTGGATCCACATTGATATATTTAAACTTGAGACACCGACCTCTCTAGCCTCTACCACTACACCAAGTCTCAGTTTTGTAAGCAATATCTTTCTCCCACTTCCCATGATACGTTCTATTTGATAAATAAGGCTGGTGTTTCACCAAAATCTTATATGTATTTTCTGTAACCTTTGTCCTGATTCTTTTGTTTTTTTATTCATCTCTTCCTCAACTATACCTACCCCTCCTAAGTCCGACATGATATGAAACCCAAAATGAACATCAACGATGTTCCAAAATCCAACTTGACAAAAAAATGATTTGATTTAGTAATAAATAACTATGTTGCCTCACAATCTTTTAAGGTTTCAACTTCAAATCGTCCTCCTAACATTTTAAATCTTTAAGGTTAAATTTGTTGCTATACAAATTATCTTTTAGTTTAAATTTATTGTTACATTTGTCCGAGAGCTCCCAAGTTCGAGCCCCTCTCCTAACATTTGTCCTAATTTCATTTTCTCTATGCCGATGTGGCATGCAATCCATTTTTTTTGTGAATATCGACCCATTTTTCTTCACAACACTTGATGCCATCGTTGTCCACCAATCGTAGGTCCTGCAAAGGTGTAAATGCTCTTGGATGATCCTTTCCGGTAGAACATGTCAAAACACCAAATAGATATTGATCTCACTAAGGTGCTGTTTGTTTTTTGGAAAAAACCTCTTCAAACCTCTTACTGCTGTGCGGTGCAGCACACGCGCAACACTTTTCATCTTGCAGTTTTTTGTTTTTTAAAAGTCTTCTGAGTCAAAAACCTCTGCGCAGGCTCTGTTTGGCGCAACACTTGTACTGCCTCTTCTAACCTCTTCCAACATTTTCTTTTTCTTTTTTTATTGCTAAAATTTTGATTATATGTTATTAAAAATTATTTCACATTTGTTTTTCCGTTTTTTTTTTCGTTTATTCTTATTGAATTTATTTTTTATTTTTTTATATTCAATAATGATAATTTCTTGATGAAATATCATTATTTTTTACTAAAATATCTTTATTTTTTGTTGAAATATCATTCTTTTTTACTGAAATATCATTAATTTTTACCAAAATGTTATACATTATTAAATTTTACGTATTAAAAAGCTATTTTCGATTTATAAAATTAGTTTATTTTAATTTTTTAATATCTGCAGTAGTATGCAGATATTAAAAAAACAAACACGCTTCTTATTATAGTCTGCAGCCGTTTGGTCCACCTCTTCTACTGCAGAGGGTTGCAGAGGTGGTCCACAGACTTCATGAATTTTTGTTTCAGAAAATCAAACAGCACCTAAGTAGTTGCATTTTTCAAAGTGTAGTGATAATGTGATATGTTTGCATGCATATGTACAATATGTTGTGAAAAAGCTAAGGAAAAAACATGTTGATACGATGCATGAAAACGAGCCTAACAACATCACTCTCCTTTATACATATATAAAATCAATGGAGGATTATTAACCGTTCATTAATAAAGTAATAATAATTTGGAAACTCACACAAGGACATCAGTACTCACATATGCTTAACATATATAAATATTTGAATTGAATCCTCGGAGGACATAGTAAAGTAACTATCATCGTAATAATTAGGGCGATAAATCCTTAAGAACAGTGATTATCAGGTCCTCATTTTTTTTTTTTTTTTTTCTTCTTACTATAGCTATAACACTTTACACAATGTTTTAAAATCCGGGTTTTTGGTTGATCCGGTATGATGACCGGTTCACGGGTTAACCGAATCAACCGGTTGAACCGCCGGGTCAACCTGGTTTATGGTCTTTTTCTATTTTTATATATTTTTACTTTCATGCATAATGCATAAACATATAAAACCAATAATTTGATGTCCACAAAGTTTAAATATTTAAAAACATTGAAAAACATTGAAGAAACCGCAAACGACTCGTTGTTTTGGCGTTCGCTACTTGTATCTAACTATCCAAACCTATTACAACAGGTCAATCTGGTTTTAACCGGTTCGATATAAGCGGTTGAACTGCGATTTAGGGGAAACCCGGTCGGTTCGATCCGGTTCGTATTTTTACAAAAAACCGGTCTTAATTGACCCGCCTTTTATCCCGGATCACGGTCCAACCGGTTGAACCGAACGGGTTGACCCGGGTTTTAAAACATTGACTTTACACGACCATAATGCTTAGACTTATTGTCATTCCCTTACGAACAACTTGAAACATTCATTACATATATACACAGTAAGAAAAATTAAATAAAACTTAGGGAACAATCTTGGAACATTTTAACTTATCAATCCAAGAAACCAATGACGATTTGGAGTTTCGAAACCCTAAAAACCCATGTTCCTTGCTCTTGTTCATGATATCCAACGTACCCTCGATGCTAAGTACAAAATCCACAAACCACCATCCTCCAACTTCCTCTAATTTCGTTGTCAGCAACTCCTTTTCCTGCACAATCGCATCCCAAACAGGCCCTTTATCCTTCATCATCTCCCCCAAGCTCTTTCGGGATTCATCTTCTTGAAGCCCTCCGTTCTCAACATCAAATTGCTCAGCCAAAATTTTCCAGAAGTGCTTCCATTTAAAAACGTCGCCATTACAAATGTTAAAAGCTTCGTTCTTTGCAATTGGGTCAACGGCCGCCCATATATGGTGCTCGGCGATTAGGTCGGCATCAGAGACGTCGTTATAGCTATTCCACGCCTCCTTCGTTCCTGGGAATTTGAAGGGTTCACCCTCCTGCTTACATATTGCAGCATAAACACATAAACTTGCTAAAATGTTCATCATACTGTAGGGAGAGAACCCTAATATTAATCCTGGTCTATGAACAGACCATGTCAATCCTTCCTTCTTTGCGACCTCTTTAAACAAAATATCTTCGAGTGTGTAATAGAAATTCGGCTGATTAAGCCTGGGAAGATCTTCATAAAATGGCGCATTATGAAACCCGATCCCTTTTCCCCATTCCTTAAATG